ACACACACACATTTACGTCGACATCATGTCCTCCGTCCCTGCTCCCCGAGCGGCGGCGGCGCCGACCATGCCCGGCTGCATCATCACCCCCCCCGGTGCCCCCGCTCCCCCCATCCGCGCCGCCAAGTCGAGCCCCATCTTTACCCCTAGGTTCATGTTCATCGACGCGATCATGTTCATGGAGGCGCGTTGCAGCGGGTTCATGGAGGCTCCGGCCGCCGCCGCCGCCGCCGCCGCCGCCGAGGAAAAGGCGTTAACGTCCGGGGGGGGATTCGCGCCGACCATCCCCGGTCCACCTGCAGGCTCGCCGCTCGGGGGGGCTGTGATGCCGGGAGTAAATCCACCTACGGCCCCCCCTGACGCTGTCGATACCGCGGAACCCCCGCTCATTGCACCGAGCCCCGGCGCGAACACGCCTCCCAACCTGTGTTTGAGGTCCAGCCGGGGTTAAAGCCGCACGGCACATGATGGGCGTTGCGAGGTGTAGCGACAGCAACGAGTGGTGAATGTTTTTCGACCCCACGTCATACCGCGGGAGAAGTTGAACGCGTAGTGCGGCAATGCGGTAAGTAACGCGTAAGCGGTGCACGGCGGAAAGCTTGCTGCCTTCAAGATTTCACAAAAAAGAAAAGGGTTCCGGAGCGGGGATAAGACGGATGATGGGAGCAAGTTGTCTTTCGGCACGAGGTAAGGTGGGGAGGGAGAGACACTATGTTGCTGCAAAGAGAGAATCGGACGAGGAGGAGAGGACAGAGGCGAGGACGGATATTTTTCTTTCTCTTTAATTCTAGTTAGAAGAGAACTTCTTTCTCTTTTTTTCTCTCACTTCTTCTCGGGATCAGAGCATGGGTTCGCGTGTGGTTCGAGACTGGAAGAGAAGGAAATGAAAAACTTGTTTACGCACCCCTCCTCGTTGTGCACATAATCTCTTAAGAGCAAGATCGAATCGTACGCTGATTGCTCTTAACCAGAGGAGGCACCGTGAGGCGGGGTGCGCTCCTACATTTCACCCCAAGGATGGATAGCTAAAGGAAGGTGGTCGCTCTGGCACTATCAATGCACCTTAAGGCCTCATGCCTAACGATGCACAGATTAACTTTGTGCACGGCGGTCGACAACGCCTGCCGTACGACCAGACGATATCCAACCTGTTGGCGCAAAAAACAACGAGTCTAGCCTTACTTACCCCGAAGGCATAGCAGCAGCAGCAGCAGTAGCAGCTGGGATATTGGAGGACGGTAGCGCTGCTAGTCCCCCGCCCCCTAGATGAGACGGCACCGCCCCTAGGCCTACCCCGAACCCCCCCCCCGCCGAAACGCCAGCCGCGGAGGTAGGGGACGGCGGCAAGGCGGCGGAGAGTCCGCGGTGAGAGAGCATCTGCTGCAGCGCTGGAGACGAGATCGTCTTCCGGATGTCCACGTCGTTGTTGTTGTTGGTACCCGCCCCTGCTGCCGTTCGCGTGCCCCCCCCTCCCATTCCGTCCAGGGTTTCTTCCGCGGTCTCGGCGGCGAGGTCCTATTTAATGCATAAGATGACACGTTAAACAGGACAATCAGGTCCTAATTAATGCAAAGACAATTCACAAGCGAAATAGACGATCTTAAACGGCGGCGAGGTCCTAATCAGTGTACGACAAGATGACACACATTAAACACGACAATCAAGTCCTACTTAATGCCAAGGCAACGACCACGCGTAGAATGGAGGATTGACACAGCGGTCTCGCGCGGCGAGATCCTGATTGACGCAAAGACAAAAACGAAGCAAAAATAGGACGGTATGACTGGGCGGCGAGGTCCAAAGCAATGAAAAGACAAGAAAGAAACACGCACCGGAAAGGACCGGCATAAGATACTGGAGGGGCAAAAACACAAAATGGGTTCCCGATCCTAATCCACGGCAAGCAACACAAAAAAAATACGACAACAAACGACAACAAGCGATACATGCAGTGAAGGTCCAGCGCGCAGGAAACACGAAACAAAAGAAACAGAGGAGAATGAAAGAAAATGTAAGGTAAGACTCACCTGCAGGGTTGCCCAGGACGAAGCCCGTTTCTTGTGTGGCGTCGTGCACTCCGACAGCTCCTGTCCAGTTATTTTTATTGGAAAATGATGATACATATGTTATAATCAAGGTTATACGCCAGCTACGAGACAGATGGTCGACTGAAAAGGCTTCATGTTTAGCGTAGTACACACTCCGGGCAGCTCCAGTCCAACAAAAGAAGGGAAAAAACAAGATGCTAACGACAAGGGTTGGCCGCCTAAAGGTTGGTGGGGGACCGAGGCTTTTGATGAAGCTTTCCAGCGAAGGCACTTGAGGCATGAAACACACGGAAGGTAAGAGATGGGGTAGAGAATTGAACCTTTTGTGAGACCCCAGCCCTAGCGGATGGCTGAAGGAAGGGTTACGAGAGAGAAGAGAGAGAGGGAGGGAGAGAGAGAGAGAGAGAGAGAGAGAGCGAGAGAGAGAGAGAGAGAGAGACAGAATGAATGTTTGCGAGTGCTTTGACGTATGCACATGCATAGATTAAAAAACAACCTTCGCTGCGCCCTCGACTTCTTCTGCGCCCACCTCCCGTGCATCGACGCACCCCAGCGCACCGCCCCCTGGAGTATCATGTGGTCCATGCATTAGGTATTGCATTCTCTCACTCACTGCAAAGACTTTTGTAACACACCCCTTTTCGACTCCCGTGGTGCTATCTCGAACGGGTACAACTGCTGTAGCTGCGATCGTGTTTGTATGTATTTTCTCCAAAAGCTGTAACCCACAGGGGAGATATCGCTGTGTGCTGCTCGGGAAACCGTGGAAATACAGGTAGCTTCCTCTGACGCAATGCACATGAATTCATTGCTTATCTATCTTAGCTTCCTCTGACGCAATGCATATGAATTCATTGTCAATCTATCTATCTTAGACTCTTTTCTTAAATAGAGATGGATTCGTTGGGTCACACTAAGAAAAAAAAAAAAAACACCAACAGAGACACGAACCGCGGCGGAATGGAGGGGGGGGCGTATTCTGATGTTTTGCATGCCTTAGCGGTTAGACCATTGACCACGCGTCCTCGAGAGGACGGAGCTTTGTCCCCACAGGACCGATCACCGATGGCCAATCGTTACTTCCTACTTTGCCAAAGGTGGCTCAAAAATGTCTTCCCTGGTCTATCTATGCTAACGATACCACTTCCCGCCTTTTCAAACAGCTACCGTCTTCTCCTCTCCATTCCATGCCTCAAACATCTCCCTGTACCTCCCTTGTATTCTTCCCAGCTCAGTCATGTACACTTCCCTCTCCCTTTCGTACAACTGACATTCCGCGATTACATGAAAGGCGGAATGGAGGGGCGTCCATAAAACGCTTGTGCTTGGGAGGCAAGTGTCTTGCATTCTTGTTGTCCACTTGGGATATTATACTGGAAATAGAGTACAAGAAAAGTTGGTGTATGCGTACGTACCAAAATCGCAAAAAAAAGAGTCGTCTCGACCGGACACAAGCCTACATGCCAAAATGGCGTGTGAAGGCCATCTTGTACACTGCGTGGCGGAATTGGTCTGTGTGAGCCAATAGGAGCTCTTCAGGTTGAAATGTAAGGGTTGAGTGGCAAATAACTGCAGGATTACCGAGCGACCGAAAGTAAATGGTACTGTAGGGGGTAGGAAAAGAGACGGGACGAGAAAGGCACATACCCCGAAATGTATCCACACATATACATACCCAAATACCCGGTACATACGCGTACCACATTGAACATACGTTTGAAAACCGAGGAAGATTGCATTCCATATGGCTAAAAGGGTGCCACACACAAAACGCCCGACCAGTACCTAACACATATCATCTGCACCTTCCCAACATAACATATATGAGACACACAAGACAACTACCAAACTGTCTTGTTGAGCCTGTTACCCGCAGGGGAGATGTCCCTATATGCTGTCTGGGAAATCGTAGACATACAGGTACTTTTCTGACGCCATGAATCCATTGCTAATCTGTCTCAGACTCTTTTCTATGATGGAGATGATTTCGTGGTGTCATATTCAGAAAAAAAAAAAAAAGGGCAGGGGGAATGGTCAAGATCCGAGGAGGGAGTAAGTAACAGAGAGACATTGGCCACACCAGGGCGGCTTGAAATAAAAAACTCGTGTTTTTACGTTATTCGATTGGCCTTTGCTCTGCCCTCGTCGATGGTGAAGTCGAATTTATTCCATGCACACAAGAATTAACGAATTGATCGCGCTCCAACTCTTGGCTGTCTTACATACGCATATCGAGACCGCGCTCCATTTTGTGCGAAAAAAGAGGGCTTTGCGAATAATCCAATGTTGCACTTGAAACAAGAAAACCAACCCATCAACACAAGAGATACATACGGTGTACATGCAAGTTCCTGCTGACGAGTCACGACTCGAGAATGTTCGCAATGAGGAGTTTCTTCGCCGTGTACCTCTTCTATTTTCGTGTCAAAGGGTAATGCATTTCTCTCTTGTACATACTTTTTGCAAAACACGCATACGTCTCTCATGTGTCCGCTGTGTAGATCCACCTGTACGTTCGATGATTATGATGTCTTGCGAAAAGCAAAGCGTTCGCCCATGCGCTTTAGCAAGCAATTGTTATCCAGCAAACCCCGCATGGATCCTTGAGAAAAGCCCCCGGGAACAAATGTATTAGAAGGGAGGCTGTGGTCGATGCGTTAGTCTTACCATGATGGGACCGGTTTGCCGTGCTGTTGCCCTGTGCTCTGCGAGTTCAACGCCTTGCCAGCAGCACCCGTATCCGGTATAGCAGCTTCGATGTTCACCCGCGCGGAGTGCTCACGGCCAAACCAACGCAGGCCTCATTCAGAGCTTCCTTTTCTGCGAGAGGAGGGGAAGGTCCACTACAGTAGCGCCCCTGCTGTCGTCAAAGCCAAGTGGCGTGTCGATGGTCGGAAGCACTCCAACCTTCCTTGGTTGCAGCGGGGGCGCGGGCGGTCGGGGGCACCGCATGTTGTTTACGGGGTACCTACCCCCGGGGCAATTATACACATCTCCGAGCACAGTCGAGTGGAGTGCCACTTATTCCAGCTTCTTCACAGCAGATGAGCCAGCGCCCATGACAACACATGGCATTGTACATAGAAGTAGCAAACAATACATACAGCAGGCAGTTTATGGGTCCTGCACGGTAAACGATGAAAAACAGTGGCGGGTGAGCACCAAGGGCGTACATCTGATCTGTAGACTATAAGTGGGACTTTCCATTTCCCCGCCACTCGCCTTCTCGATTATCCCCCCTAAATATGAGATGTGCCTGGTACACTATTTCTCGCGCCGATAACATGTAGTCTATCCCTACTGCAGGATCCTTAACTTTGTACAGCACAAGCGATCGCAAGAGCGAACATCTGCATTTTGTTTCGTTTGATCTATTGTGCGCAACTAATGCGAAGGAGGGGGGCGGGAGGACGAGAAGGCAAGATCTGGTACAGTATATTGACACCAGGATACACCAAGGCCGAGGCGACGCGGGGGTGGGGGTGGACGTGATCATGTTTTGCGTGCCTTAGTTGACGACGCGTCCTCGAGAAGACGGAGCATGTTGCTGCCACAGGACCGATCACCGATCGATGCCAATGAGAGGGCGAGGTGTGGGGGGGGGGGTCGCGGACTATTTGCTGGTGATGTGGTGCAGAACAACCGTGATGGAGCAGTGAATGCAGCACGAGACCGGCACCCGTCTAGTGTGCAGACGGACGGACGGACGGACGATGGTGTACTAGTGGTCTCGGAGTGCTCTGTGTAGCTGTCTTCCTTGTTGTGGATAAGTCACTCAGTCAAGTTTCGCCACAGGTCCAGGAGTATTCACGCCGCGAACCCTCAGCTACAGCACACGGAAGAGGAAACGAGAGCCAAAACATTATCTTGTCGTTTGTCAAGACCCGGGAAACCGAATCAAAACCAACCATAAACACAGGAGAGCTGTTCACAACAGACCCCAGTCGCCCCGACCCTCTTGACTTCCACGCCTACCAGGAGAACCTTGCCGTACAAACAGAGTAGCCTCTGACACAACCTGCATGCACTCCACATTAGTACGAGTTGAGTAGGTTTTGGTTTACAGGCGTGTGGTCCGTACAATACTTTTCGAAGCATCATCATGTGCGCAAGCACATCTTGGGAATGGATTCGGGCAGGGAGAAACACGTCGCCTGTTGTTCTTTCAGTTATTGCTGATGCCTGAAAGCCAGCAGGCCTGAGAGTCAGAAACCGTCGCCCTTCCCCAACAACCCCCAACCCCGGACGGTACATCATCCCAAGCTGTGCCGCTTACTCGGCCAAGGGACCGCAGGCAGCGACAGGAAGAAAAGAAGAGCGTGCTACATGCCCCCCCCCCCCCCCGCATAGAGAACACTTTTTTGAGCCGCCTTTGGCAAAATAGCAAGGAACGATTGATCAGCGGTGACCGGTCCTGTGGGAACAATGCTCCGTCTCCTCCGATGACGTCTTCCCGACGGTCTAAACCCCAAGGCCCGCAAAACGTGAGTGCGACGCCCCCCGCCTCCCCCCAACCTCCGGAGCACGCGCCGCCCGCGGCCTGCGAAGGTGCCACCCAAGACACACTCAAGTGTGGTTTGTTGTTGAACGGAGAAAAAGGTCAAGCGCAAGACAGGTCACACCACTGAGCCTCAAGAAAAAACGTCCTCTCAACCACAACACGCTCTCACGTCGCCGGTGCTACAGCACAGACACAACATTCGTGGGTACGGCAACGAATCCCAGGTCCGGCAGTGACTTCCGGATCCTGCGCACAGGCTTGTTTGTAAGCTTGCTTCTGCTGGGTCGCCCCGCTCCCTCCGCCTAGCTTCTCGTTCCGGTAACGCCGTTCGTTCACCCCCACCCTAGGTAACATCACGCATCCTCTCTCACAAACAAGCCACGTGGCACGCAGTTTTCTCGTCGGTAAAATATCTCACGGAGAAAGGAAAAAATTACCTGAGAGGTAAACAAACCCTGCGGAGAAAAGGAAAGGTGGAACGCAGCGGCTTTCTGATTGGTCAAACTACCTCTGTGCCACCTTGCGTGTTTCTCTTTCATTACTTAGCCCTGCCCTTGGTGACCTTCTTGGCCTTCCCGGAGGCGCCCTTGCCCTTCTTGCGCTTCGCACCGGCGTCGCGGGGTCCCTCGATCGCGTCGTACGCCGCCAGGGACTCCTTGGCGCTGCGAGCGGTGCCGTCCTTGTCTGCGCTCTTGGACTTGCCGATCATCACCTGAGTTGTTGGATAGGCACGAACCACAAAAAAAAAAAAAAGGTGATGCGCCAGGTGAAAAGCTTTGCGCAACAACGGGAGTTGTCCTTGTTATCGCTCTCGATTATCACCTGAGTTGGGTATATGCGAAAACATGATGAATTAGTGCCTCTTCAACGACGGGATTGCACCAGTGAAGAGCTGCGCACAACAGCGAGGGAGAGGACTGCCGGACTCCCCTGTTTTGGATAAATACGAAAAAACATGACAGTAACGCACACATTCAGCGCATTACACCAGAGGAAGGGGGCTGCTGAACCCTTCCCCGAGAGACTTGACCAAGCCGCGAGACTTGATCATGAACGTAATCAAGAACCATCAAACTCCAGTTCGAGGTCATATTTCATCGCCACCGTAGACAGGATACTACATAGACTTTACCGCAGGTTTACATTGTCCTTGGGCCAAGGGCCGCGGCACAAATGGTCACTAACCGAGTTGAGGATCTTAAGGTGGCCTTGTGTCTCCTCCCCAGAGCCGACCGTGACCGGCTTGAACGCCCGCCGCACGCCCTTCCCTTTCCTTCGCTCCGGCTCTGCGTGCCGCCTCTCGTCGAACCTGAGAGGAGGGGGGGGGGGGGGGGGGGTTAGGACGTAGGGGAGGATGGGAGCGATCGACGGCGTCATCATCGTTATGTTACGTAAAAACGAACAACTGAGGAAACGGCGACAACTGACCGGTGCCATCAACACGCACGGTTGTGTCGATACCTATGTCAGTCGCGGGCACGGACGAACAGGTCCACCACAACCTCGCCAACACCAACATCACCAAGCAGCAGCAGCAGCAGCAGCAGCAGCAGCAGCAGCAACACCAATATCAACCACCTTAACACCACCACCAAACATCTTCATCAACCACCAACACCAGCAATATCAACTTCACCCACCACAAAGGACCCAACAACAACGCCTTCAACAGCACCCACAACACACCAACTAAACGCGCCAACACCTCCGACTCACTTCCCCATCGAAGCCGTCGAGTGCTGTACCAACTCCAGGGCCCCCTTCGTGTTCGCCTTCCCTCGCTTCGCGGGTGCCCCCCCCCCTCCCGACCCGTCCTTAGCGCTAGGGAGGAGGTCCACCGGGATACCAGGCTTTGCTCCTCCTCCGGCACGCTCAACGTTTTTCGCTCTGACGGGGTTTCAAGCAGACACAGCAGGCGTCAGGAAATGTAGACCTTGAAACGGCCGTCGAAACAAATCATCGCTGAGAAAAGCATCGTCATTTTCACCCGGCGCGATCGACGGTTTTCAAATGACAAAACGACGTACTCACGACTGATCTCTCGTGCACAGGAAAAGTCTCTGTCTGTCTGTCTGTCTGCCTCCCTCTCCATGTGTACAGACAAATAGACATACGTACAACGGACCTCTTGTGCACAGCAGGGACGCTCCTCTCTCTCTCTGTCTTTGCTTCTCTGCGTCTGTCTGTCTGTCAGTCTGCCTGTCCCTCTCTCTACCTGCCTGCGCAGACTGACCTGTTGCTAAGGTTCTTCTCCACCCGCCCCTTCTTCTCCTCACGAGCCTCGGACCACGGGTTAGCCATGGGGTCCTTGCCCTGTGTTGTCCGGCGCATTGGGGTTGGCCAAGGGACGTACAGGGAAGAATGGCGGAGGCTTATCTCGCAAAGGTTAGATGCGATCAACACTAAGTGGGAGAGTGAGAGGGGAGAAACACAAAAGAGAGGATGGGAGAGGACAACACTAGGTAGAAGGGTGAGAAAGCGCAAAAACTACCAAGAAGAAAGGGCGGAGGGAGGATGAACACTATGTGGAAGGGTGAAAGAGGATAAACACCACCGCAAGGGCGGTTTCCCTCAACAATAATATCATGACAGCCTACGCAGGTTCTGCCAACATACAGTAGTCCCCGCTTTAAAGACACTTAATTGTAAATCAACCCCCCGGTATAAGGCTGACTCTTATGGCTCCCCATAGTTGACCCGACGGATTTTTTTGGACGGGCGTACCCCAAACTATCGTTTAGAATCTCCTACGGATTCTCCACACGGATCCTTACTTTTGCTCACATGGATTGACATTTCTCAGCACACACAGACTCCACAGCAGTCACCACTAGCTTCAAAGACGCCTACAGGTGTGGTGCGTACAGCCTTCAAGTTCTGGTGACGACCCGACAATCATGGAGGGAGAACTCTGTGATGTGGTGAGAGGTCTGTCTTTTGGTCGAAATCAGGGGGGGGGGGGGGCTATGCCCGTCCAAAAAAATCCGTCGGGCCAACTATTGGGAGCCATAAGAGTCAGCCTAAGGACAAAAAAAAAATCCCACAAGTAGGGTGCCCCGCAGATATTCAACACAGAGGGGGTACCCTTTACATCATATGGGACTCCCAAAATGATGCCGCAGCACACCCTGAACAGAACGGCATCTCGGCAAGGATTTTCTCGTGGGGACGACGCCGAAACAATGGACAACAAAGTCAACAACAACAACAGCGCACGTTTGTCATAAGATACAGTACCTCGTCCTGCAGCACTACTTCGGAACTATGACGTGGCGGTGGGGTGTCGCAATGTAAACATTCAACAGCGAACGACCTGGTGCGACTTTCAACCGCCACCAGGTTGCGATCATCAGGTAGGTTTTAACATGTATTCGTTTCGTGCTACTTGTAGTAACCCTGCTGCAGTTGGGCCGCTTCTGACTTATGATCAAGCCTCCGTAAACCAAGGGACGCTGGAGTATCACCCCCGCAATCTCAAAGACACCTCCGTTAAAGAGACTTTACAAATACAAAACCATGTGCGCCTTTAAAGCGGGGTCGACTGTATAGGATAAAGTATGGAATCAGTGAAATTTCGGGGAATAGGGTTAGGGTCTACGTAACCCCCTCTCGTATCATAGATAAACGCAATTTCTTCGCATAGCAGTCCCTCTCAACAACACACATAGGATTAAAAACATCAAGAGAGGACGAGAGAGGATAAGCACTAAATGAAAGGGTGAGAGAGAGAGTACACAAGCCTAAAAGGAAGACAGAAAGAGAGGATGAGAGGGGAGAATCACTTACTGGGAGCGCGAGAGAGAGAATAAACACTAGGCGGAAGGGTGATTTTCCCTCAACTACCACCCTACACAGATAATAAAGCAAACAAATACGATAGAGTATGGCATCGGTGGAATTTCCCCTGCCTCTCTATTTCATACTTCGAAAAAAAATCTCCTCGCGTAGGCAGGCAGTCCCTCCCAACACACACACACGCTGACTACTCATCGGGCTAGGATTCAAAACTTTAGCCACTCACCGGCTTAACCTCGACGATGGCGTGGTTGAGGACACCGTCATTGGCCCTCTTGTACCCGTGACGCGGCCTCCACTCCTTCAGGTCGTCGTCCCACACCATGCGCGATCGCTTGCTGCCCGTGATGCCCTTCTCCTTCGCGAACCGGTCCCATCGAGTCTCCGCCTGCAGCAGCCATACAACGTAGGCAGACCCGAGCCCGAGTATGAGTTCCGGGGGGTGGGTGGGTGGGGGGCGTACTCTTTATGTTTTGCATGCCTTAGCCGTTAGACCATTGACCACGCTTCCTCGAGAGGAGACGGGGCATTTGTTACCACAGGAACCATCACCGATGGCCAATCGTTCCTTCCTACTTTCCCAAAAGTGGCTAAAAAAAGGTTCGGGGATGATATCTACCAGACGCTACGGTTCGCACCCCCTTGTCAGGCCCCGGCTTTCAGGTTAAATCAGCTTGTGAGTACACTTGGCTGTCCCTAGCATTCCCATCTCGGTTTATCCTCGTTTTGCCGCGCATCCACAGCCATCCGACTCTAAATCCCCATCAAGAAGCACCAATCTTGAGTTGGGACTTATCGAGGGGACACGAGATTCAAGTTTTTCGGGGCTTG